CTAAAAACTATTCGGCGAATTCTGCGTCCGCGATCGTTCACAATGGACGCAACGGAAAAGTCATTATCGAATTCTACATTGTTGTTCTGCATAATTAACACAGTCAAAATTAATTTTCAAAGATCACGAAATCATAATTTTCGAATCGCGATGATGTCCTGCGGGCAAAGTACATTACAATATTTGTTAAACAACGATGTCGGCCGAAACGTCAACCGAAGAGTGCTCTCCTGGAAGAGAGATACGGGCCGAATATATTTGTATTAAAAGCGTGTATTTTTGACGCACCGCGAGTTAAATCGTAAAAAGCAAACAGGCCGAACAAAACGCCGAATTCTGATAACAATTGCTTCACACGTAGCGCACGATCCGCGCACGTTCGGAGAATGAAATACGATAATCTGAACTGTGCCGGACGTATATAAAAGCGATTTGATTAAAATGCAAACGTGCAAAACGTATCACTGAAAGAATCTCTGATATCTATTTTTGTATTACCAAGAAATTATACGAGGGATAATATCCCTCGGCAAATATTAGCGTTTCCTGAAATAGAATTACGGACGATGCAAAATGCGTTCTTATCGCACGATGATAGTAAAAGCCCTCCATGATAGCCTTATGAAATTGTTCTCTGAACCTGCACCTTCCGATAGTCGATTATCTTGTTCGACGATAAGTTTAATAAATGGAGATTGTACTCCGGATAGAATGCACAATAAAATCAAGCTGAAAGCATTTCTCTTCTTGTAACCTGAGAAAGTAGTTTGCTTCTATATCTTCTCTCTCTATCTCTCTCTATCTCTCTCTTTCTCTCTTTCTATCGACAATATACAATCATATATTAATTTTACGGCGGCAATTCTCCATTTTCACTTAGCCCGATTCTATTTCCATCGGCTACGGTTACTCGTACCATCGAACGGGCTTCTGACTCGATTCCACGCAACGGAAGGCATATCACTTTGCGAAGCGAAGGGATAAAGGGAGATAAATCGAGAAGAATGGCTTTAAGATATCCTGGCAATAATGGAGCTACGATCTAATGAGAAATCTTTCGCGAAAGTTAAATTGGCTTATCGAAGGAATCGCGACGAAAGTGTATCGTGTACCGTGTATTTAATAGCAGGAATTTAATTCCGCGCGGAGTGCCATGGACAGTCGCCAATTTAATATCCTCGCGTTGTCTTCACTCAAGACAACGATTTCGACATTTCGGATTCCGCAGTACTTTGACATTAACGCATGTCGGGAAGCATAATTGCGGATAATAATTGCGCTCCGTTTCAGCTTTATTTGCAAGCTGCATTCCCGAAAATAATTTTGCATATTATGCCCCCGGGCAAGAATTATTCGTGCAATCGAGATAGCGCGCAATTACAATCGTATTTGGCTTCGGGCGAGCGCGAAATGAAATATCGCCGATGAAGATGGCAGAAATAAAAACGGTGCGCATAAACGTTTATGTACAATATTATCTTGTATACATCACGGTTACGTTGTCAAATCACGGTATATCGCGATAAACGTGAAATATCGCGTTTCAAATTTATTCGCACGAACGAAAAAAGAAATAATTATTTATACCAAACACATTTTTATATTTTAAAATTACGATTAATAAAATACGATATTATTAAATTCTGTGTTGAGAAGTGCTGTAAAAGTAGTACGCTAAAAAATATTGTTAAATAGCATTATTTCATTATTTAAATTATTTAAATATAAAGTTAATAATCAAAATCATTTAAATACGAATTTATTATTTTCCGAGTTATCAGATACCATAACAACTTCAAAGGATATTTAATTACATAATGAAAATAAAACGGAATTAATTTCCTTATATTTAATTCTAAATAGATCGAAGCAGTACAATAAAAAAAAAAAGATAATACTGGAAAGAAAGAAAAAGAGAGAAAAAGTGGTAAAAAAAAAAAAAGAAAATAATCCGTATGAGAAAGTTGCGACAAGAAAGTTGGAAAATAAGATTTTCATTACCACGCGATTGGAATATACAATTAAAGCATCGTGACATGTATATATATACATAACGCATCAGAATGCATGATACGCATAAGGTATACATCATGGATAAACTTACAAGAACTTGAAAAGAACATTCAGGAATAATAATTAAATTTAATAATTGAATATTAAATTTCTTTTACATTTTAATAGCCTGCACAGAAATATATTTTATATTCAAAGAGCGCGTTTCATGCATTATTTCTCTATAATAAACGATGAAATAAATAAAAATAACGTTCATTTCACAGACAGCGTAGAGCACAATGACGACTGAAGAGTAATATCCGCGCAATTGTGTAAATTGTAAATGAGCGCGAATAGCTTGTCAGCGAATTATGTATTACTTTCTGCTATTTGCATGCGAATCATATTACCGTACAACTCGATTTAATTGTGATAACGGGCATATATTGTACAAAGCAGTCTACGCTCTGAGGGTGATATTACGATTGCATATGCGATTTAATTTGAGCGACACCGATCCTCATTATCAGTTCACGATGGAATCAAGGAGATAATTAAATTTTAGCGATAATCAGCGCACGCGACGTTAGCTCAAGATATCGAAAAGCAATTAGTGGCTCGACGGCAAATAAGAAAGCGAAAGAGAATGATTACGATATGATCTATAGTATTATTTTATCTGTCACATATGAACTCTGGCAGTGAAGAAGGAAGAAACGTGCGCTTCTTAGGAGCAAGTCGAAGCGAGAAAAGAAAACTTGAGTTTTTGATTTTTGTTATATTACACAGATAATCACTAATTAATATTATTTTCAAAGATCTAATAATAATGTATAACAGTTAAAATGTACACAATATAACAATTTTTCTCTCTCTCCTCTCTCTCTCTCTCTGTATATCTCTCTATATATAGATGTAGATAAAATAATGTCTACAAACCACGGCGCACATTATACATTGTATATACTGTTTTACATTGGAATTATCAGCCTTCCATAAATATCAAATAATGCAGTTTCCCGCAAACGAGAAATCAAACCAGAAATTCGTACCAATTGATTCGAATTTGTTATGAATACGTTCGCGTTTCGAAGTTGAATCCACGATCGAACGGCGTACCGTTCTGCGTAGCGCGACGCAACAGCGTTCCTCGCGATCGTCGCTATACGACACGCAGTACGTATCGCGCGTGGCTAGACGGGGAATAGGATGGTGTACAATCCGAAGGGGAATCGGATGGCAGCCGATACGTAAACGAATCCTCGAAAGATCATAGCCCGAGCGTGATCCCGGAAAATGTCTCGGGCGTGTCGCGATATATTGGATTGGAGCTTGATTCGCGGACGCAAAAGCGACCTTCTCCCCGCACGAATGTGTTCTTTTTTTTTCCAGATTTACGGAACGCGTGGGTGAGTCAAGTGGATGTGTGGGGCTGGCTCTCGTGCACGGGTATAATGTAGTTCGAGAACGGGGCGGGCAGAAGGGTGGAGGGGTGGGGGGAGAAGGCCAGGAAGAACGCGATGATGGGCGATAAAGCACAAACACCCTCGGGCACCGGGATTGCTTATCATAGTCGTCATCGATCGTTCCGTCTCCGTTCGCGGGATAAACCCCGGGATCGGTCGCGGGCAGATAGAGTATTCCGTCGGATAAAAAGCATGGGAATGCCGCGTCATCGCGCGCGCGAATAACCGGAGTCGAATATCCCGAATTGAATCGATATTTCATCGCGCGAGTCGCAGCGAAAGTTAAATGGTCGCTTGTAACCGGCGCGCCTTCGACTCGGAAACCTTCACCAGTTCCTTAATTGGATGCTCTCGATTTTACCTTCTCGCGAAATTATCTCGGTGTGTCTCTCGTCCTCGTAAATGAATATTTCAGCCCCGTAATTTATACATGCTCATTGCGCACCCCCCCCCCCCTACTATCGAGAAACGCGCGCGTGTACCGCAGCGAGACACTCGCGGCATAAAGTTTCATATCTCGAGACACACACGAACGATTTAACCACACGACTCCGCGATTAGAGATCAAACGGAGAGTGCAGCGTGCCAAGATTGCGGGGGCGGAGGGGGGGAAAGGGCGATTACTCCAGTGAAATCTGACGATTAATTAATAAGTATATATATCGGCCGCCGCGAAATGTTTCGCAATATTGCAAGACGCGACGAGATAATTATCGGATCTATCAAATGTCGCGGGAGAGATAGAAAAGTGATAGATCGATCCACGAGACAAACATCGATCCACACTCTCGCATCCGTGTTAATTCGATAAACACGTTTACATATATCCGATACAATTATTCTCGCTCACGTTATATATACATAGTCCTCTCATCATAACCTCGATGTACGAGAAATAAAATACATGCGACTCACCGATACGACGCGCAGCAGCGGAGTTGCGGCTACGTCGGAACGTAGGTTACACCGGCGTCGGGCTGTAAAACGGAGAAATACAACACGAAATTAGAGCAGCGCCCGTAGCGAGTAATCAGCGCGTCCACGGGAATAATTTCTCGCGTGAGGTAATCACGTAAATAATTAGTCCCGCGGAAGTGGCGAAATGAGATAAAAAGTAATAAATAATTAATTCACTCACCCTCACGGTCGCTCCGCCGTCGCCTGATGCCTCCCCCGAGCCTCCTCCTCCTCCTCCTTCCTCCTCCTCGCTGCCCGATGCCTCCTTCGTCGCACACGCACGCAGGGGGCACGCAACACTCGCGATCGCCACACGCGATACGGCCGACGATTAATTACTATCGTCCGTGTTTAATTGTCACGAGACGGATCGCACTTTGCGCGGCACTCCCAGGGCTTTAACACGCGACCGGCGACGCGCACCATCATCAGGGCACCTTGCGATTCGAAAGCGAAAGCGACGCCATATACGCGATTCAGGTGTAGCAACTGGAGCGAGCGCGAGCACTGCACCCAACTTACTCTCCCCTTCTCACTCCCTCTCACTCTTCCCTAGCGGCCGAGCGACAGTCAATCGCCGAAAATGACGCGACGCGGGTGCAGCGAGAATAGCGAGATCCGCGAAGGAAGAGCAAGAGAGCGGCCAACCGCGTTGGCCGCCGTGTGCGTTGCACGGAGTCACGACGCCGCGCCGCTTGACTTTAATTCCACCGAGACGCGATCGCGAATAGAATAACATGTAAAAAGAGCACGAAGCTCGACCGCGGCTTGATGTCTGCAGTGAATCTCGCTGAAGGTACGATTTCATGCTGACGCTCGACGCTCATTTTTAGCATTAAAACAGATCACACGATCGAAATTAATGCCTGATCGTATATTTGTCAATTTTGATCGTGCGATCTGTTTTGACGCTAAAAATGAGCGTCGAGCGTCAGTATGAAAAGGTTATGCTTTACAGGACGATCAGCACGGAGGGACGAGGAATCGCGGACGCGACGAACGGCGGAGAGCTCCGGCAAAAATCGCGAACGACGCGACGGCGCGCAAATGTGAGTAAAATTCACGTTGCGTATAATTTACAAGCATTAAAATACGACCGTAATCACGGTCGTAATTTTATTCGCTAATTGACGCGCGTCACGACGCCGCTTGACTCGCAGGTAATCCGTTTTTACGTACGTTATGACTGAAAAAACGTGAAGGAACGAACGTGCAGGACGATTAATAAAGTTAAATTAGTAATTAAATATAATTGGTTAAAATAGCGGGGTCGTCGGAAAACATATGCCATTAAAATTCTGCAATATCGTACGCGCGCGATATATGTATTTCGAAGTACACAAATCCAAATACGTGCGTATTAAAAAATGATTGATACATATCATATATTGTATACCATTTAATTGTCGTTGCTCAAATTATTCGACCCGGTGATTTGCATATATTATTTAACGTTCTCAATTCCGAAAGCAAAAATTGATTCGGATCGGCGAAGAATGAGTAGCTCGAGTGCGAGTTTAACAGTCGGATTTAACTATATGTATAGTTATAAAAGATTGACTATCGCCAGTGCAATGAATTTAACAATTTGCAGTACGTTCTTATTCCTTGCAGCTCCGATAATTTCGCGACGCGAAGTAGAGGTGCTCGCTTCAATAAATGCCTTTACGGTCGTTGATCGCGGCAGTTAATTAATTGCGCGAGATTACAGCGGGTAATTGCTCGTGAGGAATGATCGTGTTTCGATCTATAAATATATACGTCTGTAAGACTTCGCGGAGCAATAGGCGTCGCGCTGCCTACTGGCTCGACCTCGCCGCGCGAATAACAACACAGCCGGCGCGGCGTGTCGCGACGTACCGCGCGGCGACCTTGCGTCGTCAAAACAAACACCAAGGCCGTATATGGTCAGTCTTGCCCTTACGGACTGTTTAACATATTGGAAATAAACTTGCGCCCCGCGAATATTTCATTCCCAGTACCTATTTCAAACTTATGTTGCTGAAACGAGCCGCACATTTTGCACGGCTCGTTTTCATGAATTCTTTAATGTTGTCCAAGATAATGATTAATGTTGTATGATTAAAAAAGGAAATGTTACTTGACAAAATTCATCTTGATTGACGAGAAAATTTGTATCTATCTGGTGTATCTAAATGTGTATTATTATAATAGCAAATTTTAACTACTACATGCCAATTAATTAATTCTTTTTTTAAATGACAGTGTGGACGAATTTCGATTAAAAATTCTATTTAAAAAATTATTTAACCCATTATTCGAAGACTTGAGTTTATTTTCGTTTTACTCAAAAAGCAATTTTAATATTCTAAAAATCTGTTAGACATTAAATCGAATTTTTTACGTAAATACATCAATTGTTCCGTTCTCGAGTTTCCGAAAGAAATGTTACAAAATTCAAAAATTATTTATTAATGTCATGTATGAGCTTCTCTGAAGTATCATTTATTGAACGGTGAAAAGCAAAACTTGAGTATCTCAAGACAAACTTTGTTCGAGTTCCTCAATTGAATTGCGATTGCAATTGTGATGTAACGAAATCAAATTGATCATCAAAATCTATTTCTTAAACTGTTATTATTTTAGAAATAAAAGAATAAACTATCAGTTTCATTTTGTTGATTATTAATAAAATAAAATAAAAGAACAATTTTCGAGAGAAAATGCTTCTTTCTTGTAAAGAAAACACATATTAAATTTATACCAAATTTTTTAACTTTAATTATTTTTAAATAGGACAGAGCTTCTTCTAAGTGAGTTATAAATGTATAGTATATATGTTCTTTTGTTCACTCAAACGTGGTACGCAAATGCTATTACGGCGCTTTTTACGTCGAAACATTCGAAACAAATTGCAATTGGAAGTACATTTTACCGCGTTGCATTTATTTATATTTATTTTTAGCAGGCAACACATGCTGTTTTTTCTACATTTTCTGTGCTTTTCGCTAAAATCTTACATACTAAAACTGCGCATTTAACTCTCGGCATAAGCAAATGCCTTAATGGATTGTATGAATAAAAGCGAGGCAAGTACTTTTTAGCAAAAGTAAGAAACGCAAAATAACAAGTTTAACGTGAGATAAAGAAGCTAGTTTTAATACAAAAGCAAATACATATCTGACTTTTCGTGCAAATGTAATATCTCGGTTCAACAACGACTTTTTTTTTTAACTCACAAACTTTGTATTTCGAAAAACTTCACGTATAATCACCGAGTACTTCCCGTAATGCGCGAAATGTGTTACGTTTTATATAAATTGCTTATTACGATATATTTTTTATGTTCTCGCCGCTAAGCGATTTCAAGCGGAGTTATCGGGCTCTTGATGCGTTCCAATTCTATATTTTAATCCATTTCATTTATTTATGCATTTCGTATTGCGGCAACAAATATTTGATTTCACGAGGCAGCGGGGCAAGTGGTAAAATCAACGATACAAAACGATAGATTATGATTATTTTAGCAGAAATATTAAATATTTCATATGCACGCGGTTCGCTGGACCTCGAGAAAAAACCGTGCTAATGAAGATCCGACACATGGTGCATGAAATTTTACGCGTGACATTACCAAACCTTTTTACATAAAACAATCAACCGGGAAATATACCGGGACCGATACACGCGGAACACATCTGACAAAAACAGTAAAGAGTCGAATGCGTTAAGTGGCTTTCGAGGTATCGAAACGCTTAGGCAAATCATTCCCATATTTTTCCAATCATTCCCATTCGTTTTTACCGCGTACGCGATTTCGATATTCCAGACGCGATTTTACGCTCGCGCGCAATGCTGCTGGTATAAATGCGAAAAGTTCTCTCCCCGTGTTTTGCAAAATTTCGTTTCCATTCGCGTTCGGCGGCGGCGGCTGTTTTTTAACGAAAACGCTTCTTTCGTTGTTGACTGACGTGCAACACGCGCTCTCTATTCCAAATTGATGCCCCTTTAAATTATTATAAGGCATTTTTTTTACATATCACGCTGCGCTTAACTAAGTCGCAATTAACTTTTCCACCTTTGAATTATGAAACGCCCGGCCGGGCGGCCGAATAAAAACGCTGAATAATTTTCCGTCCGCCGCAGTACCTTACTAAGCATAATTTTCACAGCACAGCCCGCGCGTATATGTACATGCACAGAGAAATGCGGTTGCCCCGGTCATTTCTTACGCGAGTTTTCCACCATCTTCGTTGAAATTACCATTTCTACGTCAACACGTTTTTTCGCAGTTCCAAAAACGAAGTCGCGCCTTTCACGCACACGGTCGACGTAATATAATTTCCGCGACATAAATGCAAGTCACAGCGGACTGCCTACAAGTTTCAGCACTCCGAAGGACTGCCAACGACGTTTCACTTCGTCTCCCGTTCTCTAAAAAGAGTCGTGATTATTTAAAAATATATCATGAATTGTCTTGCTGAAACGCGGAAAAAATATATCACGACGACGAGATAAATTACATTACATTAACGATGTGTAAAGCTTGCCCGTTTTATTTCTATGATAATACCGCTGCGAGAGGCCAACCTCTGTTATCATTCAAGAGAGGGGATCTTTTATCTTTCTTTCTATCTGTCGGCAATTTTACTTCTACCAAAACAAATTTGCCCTGGATCGCTTTAATCTCGTTAAACTAGTCTCTTGAAAAGCTCCTGAATCGGTCGCGTCTATTACCTTTATCTTGACATTAATTAAAAAGAGATAATACTTTCTCTCTTGATTATGCGCATTAATCTACATTACATTTTGCGTTGTAATTAAGTGGATAAGTATGATAACATTGAAAAATTGACAGCTTTTGTATAGTTCTGTTTTTTTAGAGAATTTTTTATATTTTGAGAATATTTTTAAGAGTTATGGATATTTATTTAGAACGTATGAACTATTCAGCGAACTAACGACACATCATTTTTTTGGTGATATTAACCGTTTATTTGGTAAATGACCCAGATCACAGAATATACGCGTAGCATAATATATATATTATATATATATATTGGTCGAATTTAGCAGCTTTTCTGTTTTAATAATGTATTTGATAATTTAATCTGCAACGTTTTAAAATGAACAGGCTCGATACGTACCTTGCAGTTCCTATCGATTTATTCGGGTACGCGAGATACCGAGGTAGGGGATCGCTGTTATTTTCCTCTCTTTTTCCTTTTTTTTTTGTCAAACATTTACTATCCACCCCGACTGCACCGAAGATTGGCTCCTCATCGGCAACCTATGTGCTATGTTCTCTAGAGAAGCCGTAACAAAATTGAAAGTGGTAAAGTGACAAGTTTCCTCGATAACGAAAATGAAAAGGGCGAAATCGAGGATGTTTCGGTGCGGGAAAATTTTCCCACCTTTCTTCCTCTTGCGTACACCGTGAAATTCAATTTATTGTTAATTGTTATTATTTATTGTCATTAAAGTTTTGAATAACAATGTGCGTACAGGCGAATTCATTACGACAAAGGTAACGAATTTATTCGAGGGATCGTGAATTTTATTCGACTTGATCGCCCTGCAAATAATCTAGCAAAAGTAAGATAATTGAATCTTGTTCTGTATAACTAACCGACATTGCGAAGTTAAATTACAAAACGTCGTAATTACGGCTTTATAGCGTCATAGGTCTTGAGGCGAAACGGCGAAAGCGGTGTAAGGTGAAAGGAAGAGCAGAAAAGTTCCGGAATAATTACTATTAATGCTCTCTGCTCCAATATACCTGGCCATTATACCCGTCATTGCGATACGTTCGCGACATAATCGATCGATTTGCGAGCACGACTAATTATGCTGTTGTTAATTCGCAGCGGGCGTCGCCGCCAGCGACTACTTTGCAACAGCAGTAGCTTAAACTGACAAAATCAGAGTTCTTTTTTTGGTAGATGTATCTAAAATATAATCGTAAATTATTCGTTGATTTATAAAAGGTCACCAGAAGAACATACAGCAGTAGCTTAAACTGACAAAACCAGAGTTCTTTTTTTGGTAGATGTATCTAAAACATAATCGTAAATTATTCGTTGATTTA